TGTATTATTAGGAGGTACATGTATTCATAGGCGGTACATGTATTCATAGGTGGTACATGTATTCATAGGTGGTACATGCATCCATAGGTGGTACAGGCATTCATAGGCGGTACATGCATCCATAGGAGGTACATGTATTCATAGGTGGTACATGTATTCATAGGCGGTACATGTATTCATAGGAGGTACATGTATTCATAGGTGGTACATGTATTCATAGGCGGTACATGTATTCATAGGAGGTACATGTATTCATAGGTGGTACATGCATCCATGGGTGGTACAGGCATTCATAGGTGGTACATGTATTTATAGGAGGTACATGTATTCATGGGAGGTACATGTATTCATAGGTGGTACATGTATTCATAGGCGGTACATGTATTCATAGGTGGTACATGTATTCATAGGCGGTACATGTATTCATAGGCGGTACATGTATTCATAGGAGGTACATGTATTCATAGGCAATGTGTCAACCCAGCCTACTATTGATTTCATGAAAACAATGGATTACCTATTAGTCTGTGATAAAGTGTATAAAATACACCCATACCACTCACAACGATTAACACACATATGTCATAAGGTCACATACATGTTTTTACATTCCTCAATTACTCGCCATTTAAATAGTTATACAATTGGAAATAGCGCAATGAAAATTTAAAAACACACACAGTTTACAATAAGTAACAATCGGATTACGTGTACCGTAACAATGAGCTCTCCGCAAAAAGTATCAGTGTAAACTACACCTCAAATTACGCAATTTATCAGGAACAAAAAAACACAGTTATGTTACGGTTATTCCACACTGAGATAGAATAAATCACACGTATGTTTTATATATATATTCAATACAAATACATTGAACAAAATTATCAACTAATTTCCCATTTAATGAATGAAGTGTACCATGTCGGTTATGTTCGTGTATAAACGATATATCTTAACACGTAATTACACATATGTATCATTGGAACGGTATTAACAAATATACTAATTTGCC